TACCCTTACTAAGGTAGTAAAAGTTAGGTCTAAGAAGAGGTATAAGTTAAACCTAAGAGCTTAAATTAACTACCTTATTAGATATAACTTAATAAATATCTTTAGGGTTTAGAACCCTTTAAAAAACACTATATATAATATATATAATATTATCTTTAATAAGAAATTATTCTTTTTAAGTAATATTAATAATCTAAAGGATAACTTTACTAAAATAACTATAGTAGACCTTTAGAAGGCCTTATAAAGTATAACTACTTTTAAGTAAAATAACTAATATATATACTTAACCCTTAATATAGCCCTAGCTACCCTTATACTTAATAATAAAGATAATATAGGTAAGAGTAATATTAATAATATAGGTATAAGCTATATATTATCTTCTAAGGTAATAGAGAGTATAGTATTATAATACCTAGTAAGACTAGCTATTATAAACCTAGTAGAAAGTAGAATTAATTACCTAAAGCTTATCTAACTTATACCTTATTTAATACCTTAGTTATTACCTTCTCCCTTAATAGCTATATTATTTATAGAAAGCTAAGTTAATATTAATAAAGAGGAAAATCTAAATAGCCTTAATCTACTTAATATAGCCTTCTCTATATTATAAAGTAATAAGATAAAGGAGTATATATATTATATATAAGTAGCTACCTTCCTAGTAGTAAGGTAATTAAGTTTAAAGAAACTATTAAATAGTATAACTATTAAATAGTATAACTATTAGTAGAGGTAAATAAATAGCTAAAAGAGTATATTTAGATAATATAAGTACTTTAGCTAATTTATCTCTTATAATAGCTAAAAGCTATAAAATTATACCTAGCTAAATCTATATAATAGATATACTATTTATACTAAGAAATTAAAAATCTATACTAAAATATCTATTAAAAAAGGCCTTCCTAGAAGCTAAAAGAGACTACTTAATAAACTATATAGAAATATAATCTTAGTAGGAAATTAATATATAAGAAACTTAATACTAATAGCTACTTAAAAGTATATAGGTATATATATATAAGCTAGATCTAAATAGCTATATCTAGAAATATAAAGTATACTTAATTATTAAAAGAGATTAATAATTTAAGAATAACCTTAAAGATACTTATATTAATACTCTTATAGCTTAATCCTTTTAAGCCCTTATAGTAATTACTATTTACTTTAACCTTAACTTATATTAATATAATATTATAAATACCTTTATAAATATAAAGCTAAAAGAATTAATATATATATAACTACTAGAGGGCTATAGTAAATTAGGGATAATCCTAAGAGTAAATAAAGCCCTTTATAGCCTATAGTAGTTATTACTATATTAGCTTAAAGAGCTTATAGATATACTTAAAGCCCTTAGTTTTAAATAGGTTAAGTTAGAACCTTACTACTATATATATAATAGCTTTATCCTCTTCTTTTATATTAATAATATAGTTATTATTACTCTTAAGGGCTATAGTACTAAAGTTAAAGAAATTGCTTAAGAGATATAAAAGTAATATTAGTTAATAAGAGGTAATAAGCTATAGTAGTTCCTAGGAATTAAAGTTATCTATAATTATAAAGAAGGCTAGATCTAGCTCTTATAAGTATCCTATATAGAGAAGGTAGTAAATATATACCTTTTACTTAAGAGGCTTATATAGCTATAAGAAAAGGGTAGTCTAGAGATATTAATAATAATACCTAAACTAATATTAAGTAAGGAGTAAGTAGATTCCTACTTTATTTATTAATATTAATAGATAAGTAACTTATTAACCTATATTATAGTTATAATAAAGCTAAATATTATCTTTATAATCTCCTACTTTACTTAGTTTAATATAAATCTAAGTAGCCTCTATATAGCTTAAGCTAAGAGGGTAATTAAGTACCTATATTATATATTAGCTTTTATACTTAAACTTAAAGGCTTAAATACTCTTACTATTTAGATTAATACCTCCTTTACTAATAACTATATTAATTAGAAAAGCTCCTAAGGCTTTATAATTATACTATTTAATAGGATAATTATCTAGAGGGTAAATAAGTAAGATATAATTATAATATTAACTATAGAAGTTAAACTCCTAGCCTTAGACTAAGTAGCTAAAGAAGGTATATTTAGCTTATAAATAATTAAAGAGCTAGATATTACCTTAGACTTATAGTTTATTAATATCTTCTATAATAATTAGTAGATTAACTACTTAATTAATAAATATAATATTAAGGCTCTAACTATATAGCTATAGTATATAGATATTTATAACTACTAGCTATAAGAAAGAGCTAAGGCTAGAGAAATTATAGTTAAATTTATACCTTCCTAAAACTAATTAGCTAATAGATTAATAAAGATAATATTAGTCTATAACTTTTATACCTAAAGGAAGAAGATTCTACTTATAAAGCCTATAAGAGCTATAGCTATAGCCTTAGCTACTAAGGAAAGTAAAGGATAATAACTATAGGATAATAATCTTCCCTTAGAATATAAATTACCTTATTAATAATAAATCTATTAAGGCCTTAATAGCTATATATATATTATAGGATATACTAAGCCCTTAGGCTAAATACCTAAGGGCTTAAGCTTACCCTAATAGCTTATACCTATTAAAGAATATTATTAAAGAGAAGAAGAAGAGGAGAAAAGAGAGGAGAAGAGCTTCCTTTTATAGATAAATTTAGAGGCTTAAGGATAGAATTATAGGTTACTACTACTTATATTATAGCTCCTACCTCTTATACCTATACCTCTCTCTATTATAACTTAGAAGTAGCTAACTTAGAAGGTATAACCTAAAGCCTTAATATAAATATAAAAGGAATACTATTATTACTCTCTCTTCTCTCCTAATTCTCTCTTCTATATACTATTTTAGGATATTAGTAAGCTACCTCTCTTAGGGTAGTTTTATCTATTACTATAGAGTAGCACTATAGTCTACTAAGGTATAAGTTAAATAGTAGTATACCCTTTATAATTACTACTTTCTCTCTCTCTCTCTCTCTCTCTCTCTCTAAGGCCTCTTTCCTAGCTAATAGTATATATAGCTAAGATAATAAACCTTAAGATAATAAGCCTTAAGGTAATAAACTATAAGATAATAATCCTTAAATATAAATTAACCTCTTAGCCCTCCTTTAGCCTCTTCTCTTTTCTCTTCTCTTTAAGGTAATAGTAATAAGCTACCTCTCTTAGGGTAATTTTATCTATTACTATAAAGTAGTGCTATAGTCTACTAAGGTATTAGTTAAATAGTAGCCTACCTCTTATAGCTACCCTTCCCTATAGGTAAGGATTATAAGAGAGAATTACCTTATAATAAATTTATATAAGTTATTAAAGTATAACCCTTATAGCCCTTATAGCTCTTATAAGTAGCTAAGGAGCTAATAGAGTTAACCTAATAAGATTATTTAATAAAATAGTATATAGTAAATAATAGGTTAATTATATATAATAAATAGTAAAAAGAAAGGGTTATTAAATACCTATAATATATAAAAAACTAAGCTTTAACTTACTTAGGGAAAAGTATTCTTAAACCTATATAAGCCCTTTATACTTTATATTTTATCCCTTATATTAAATTAACTAAATCTACCCTCTATATAGAGGTTCTATAAGGGGTTTAAACCTTAGCCCTTTAGGCCTATTTATAACTAGAAGAGGGATAGTTAGTAATTAATATATAGTTATTAATTATACTATTATAGGACCTATATTTATATTAATAGTAAGAGAGGGAGTATAAAGACTATATATAAGGTTATTATAAGATCTAGGTTAAAAGGAACTATAGGGGCTAGGAACTAAGATTATATAACTAAGTAGCTCTTAGTTAGTACTACCTATAGGGGTATATTAGAAGATAGAGTATTTCTAGCTAGTTAATTAGGAATTATAGATTAGAAACCTTAGATATACCCTATCTCTATAGACCTTAGTAAAACCTAGGAAAGTGACTTCCCGCTATTTATATATCTCAGGGGCCTAGGCCATCCGAGAATACAGGCATCAGCCACCCACAACAGAACACAATACAGCCAATTATCTGACACTATTCTCTAAACGCCGATCAAGTCTCCGATAAGGCGTCCCCGATAACCTGCTGGCGTTGCGTCTTAACTCTGCCTGCGACGAGAGAAGCAATTCATCATCACTGCCAGCACTAGATACGTGCATTGTGTGAATTGATATCAATCGAGGTCGTGCCTGCGTGAGCGCTGCAGGAAGAAACTCCACGATGCCGCCCAGGATCACCAAACGCGAATACCGAGGACTCGCCTGCCATCGATGTCACAGACAGAAAGTCAGATGTGATAGAGGTATTGCGCCCTTGTAAGCTGCAACGTGAAATGGCTGAATCTTACAAAAAGTCATAGAGAAACCCTGCCGGAATTGTGTCTTGTCAAAGTGCCAATGTACTTATGCTATCCGCGATCGGAAGGTGACAGTTACAGAGAGCTATCTTAAGCAGCTCCAGGGTGGGTTGCTCGCTACAGAAACATCGAGGAGGTCTTCGAGGCATATTTCTTCCGACGCCGTGGATAGTACTGGAAACCAGCCCATCCAGGATTCCGACGCTAACTTTGGCTGCCGCTCCTTCGAGCTCCTGGGCGAAAACTCAACTGCAGAACACTTTGTGTCCAAGTTGAAGGAGATTCGAGACTTGAAGACTTCCCCGTTTGGCCAGGGCACGCGTTTAGACAGTCTCAGCATTGTCCAGACTGAAGAGTCTGAGCTACGGGTGTCACATCCCGCCAGGTATGAGTATGCCGCATTGAAGTTTGATACAACTCGTAGGTCTCGCCTGGACTGTCCTCAAGTCTGATTACTCATGCGTGGCCTAGATTCGACCTGTACCTTTAAACTCCCTCCATATCCATATGTGGTTCATTTACTTGAGCAATTCTCGATATATCTCGGTCATGACTGGCATTTGTTCCGTCCACAAATCTTTCGTCAAAAGCTGCACAATACCTATATGACAGTGGATTCCCCAGAATCGAAAGATCGCGCCTGGTTGTGTAAGCTCCTCGTCGTACTCGCGCTTGCAGAGTCAGTCGATGTCGGTAGGCAACCCGAGATAACTCTGAATCTTTATGACCCTATATCACGGCCACTGAGCCAAAATATATCATCGCAATACGTCCCCATCCCTGGGCAGGAGTTTTTCGAACAGGCCTTGATGATACTGAAAATCTCTTACGAAAATACCACGGTTGACCACGTTGAGATTTTGAACTTGATAGTACGTTCTGCGCAGGAATTATAGTTCTAAAACTCCTGTATAATCCTAATCACGACCATAGGCCCTCTACTCAAACCAGCTCAACAGGCAAAAAGCTGCATACAATTATGCAGGAGCAAGTGCAAGAATATGTAACACGTTGCAGTTGCATAAGGTGTCTGCGTCGATTGACTGTTCATCGGCTGAGCGAGAGCATAGGAAACGTCTATGGTGGTCAACATACTGTCTCGACAGAATGACCAGCACGTTTACGGGCTTGCCGCCTGCTCTTGAGGTTGATCAAACTGACCTTGCATATCCTAAGCAACCTGAAGATTCACCAGATGACGCCGAGGAGTTTAGCGATGCCGACTTTCTAACTGCCCGTATACAGCTCACTATAATTCAAACAAGAAATTTGAAGAGCGTGTCTCACATCGGCCTTGACGATGCACAAGATATCAAAACCGTGCTTCGTCCCAACCTGCGAAGACTTGAATCCTGGAGAGAAAGCCTGCCAGCTCATATGATTTCCGAGACTGGAAATGATACAAATGAGCCTACAAAATCACTACCCTCCAAGCGTTCTCTGGCCAACATGCACCTGCGCTTCAACCATGTAAGGCAAGCAAATTTGAGCGGGCTGTCCGCTTGCATACGCGATGCGCTTTGCTAATATAAAAGCTAGTGCATAATACTTTTACTACGGCCACTTATTCTTAGACAAGTAGCTTGTATATTTTCGAACGAGAAATCAAATGCAGCCCAGGAGGATCTAGAATATATTAATAACAACTGCCTCAAGTCAGCGCGGTCAAATGTGCTCATCATGATCAACGTACGGTCCGCTGGTTTAATTAGTAAGTTGATCCATATGGTAAAAACTTCGCGCACCGCTTCATTCAGTATTAACGGAAATGACCAATAAAGCACGACTCGGGTTTATGGAAAATATGCATTTATTCACAAGCTTAATGATCCTCTGTTTAGCTATGTCAGTCAATGCACGGCGACCTGGAAGCTTCAAAGAAACACCGAATGATATAAAAACATATCAAGCGGGTAAAAATGTCCTTTCTTATATGATGACATGTGGAAGCTTCGCTGCAAAGGGAAATCTGAATATGTTAAAAGAAGTCGAGGATCTAGGAATCACGATTGCAACGGAAAGCGGAGGAGTAGATGCTGATGAGGGAAATCAATGGGATATTGAAGAGTGGGTGACACAGTTGTTTGAGAGCGAGGACATGCTAGGCTCCTGTGGTTTACATAATAGTGCATGAGCTTAATATTACGAATGATTTCCACTAAGAAAGTCCTTGCCTTATGATGTTGTGATGCGGCCCAAGTTGAATATTGGATTGATGGGCAATAATATCCTTTACACTCAATAGCATTAACCTGATGCGCGGCCTTATCCCGATTGCTCCTAAACCTTCGCGCCCATAAGCTTTTTATAATATATATTAAGTAACATTGTCAAGGCTTTCGGCTTTGTGCTTCTGAGGCAGGCCCATTGTTGACAATGGCTTCGTAGCGAAATGGCTTTTCGACGAGAAGGCCGTCCGCAATGCCTTTCTGCCAGCGCTCGAATCCCTTGCGAGACACCGTAGGGGTTGTCCACATATCCTTCCTACGATATAGATTGGTTAAAGCGACAAGAATATCGACTGGAATCTTAGGGAAAATCTGCGCCAGCTCATCTCGGAATGAGTCAGCATCGTTCTGGAGAATCCAGTCTATGGCCTTTCCAAGGGCCATACAAAACCGTGTCTGTGCATCTAGAACACCCGGAGTGGTGGTCTCAGTCTCACGATAGTATACACTCCAGGGGATCTCTCCCCCATCAATGACCATCTCCATGGCTACAGACACGTTGGGATTTCGGGCAGCCATTACACGAGCCGTAACGTTGTCGACGAAAAAGTAGTCGCCCATGCCGCCCTGGAAGAGGTTTCCCAACATGATACCGTCGAGATCCTGCACAAAATTCACGGAATCTGGGGAGATGCCGTTGTCGCGCAGCATCATTTTGAAAAAGAGCCCGACGCTGGCTCCGTTGCCAGATTTCAGGAGAACTGTTCGCCCCATGATATCTGAAACTTTGAAGCCCTCGGAGCTGCCGCGCTTGACTAGAGCGAGTGGTGCCCTGTTGGATACTTGGGCAAAGGCCGTGTAGCTTGTTCCCCTTCCACGGTACATTGAAGGAACCCAGATGCCTCCAAGCGCAGCTTCGGCTCTGCCATCAGCAAGATCACCCAGCACTAGGTCCCAAGGCGCAGGGACCGTCGTAGAGACATTAAGCCCTTGCTCTTTGAAGAACCCGTGCCGCTGAGCTATGTACTCGGGAAGATAGTTGAGGCTGTGACCAGTGGCGGTGACGTGAAAGCGCTCCATACTTTGTAGTTGTGCTTCCGAGATGCACCTAGTATTTGGAGGGGGATGAAGAATAGCTGCTGAGCTGTAAAAAGTGAAATGAAAGACGAAGATAGTACGTAAGTTTTGTCAATGTAGGAGGGATGTCAATGTCTGTGCCAAAGTTGCAGAGCTTAGGATATATGTGTAGAAATTCTCACAACGTAGTCCGATATTTCCCCCCCTCCCTCTCTCCGTGTTTCATTCGCACATTTGGCAAAAGACCGATACTACTTGGGGAAGCTTCCGGCGATTTGAGAGCTACGAGTCAATTTTCTATACATGGAGTAACGTACCGGAAATGCACTATGACGATAGCCCGCTCGATAGGCAATTTGAAGCAATTGCCGAATCATTAATGTGGGGTTTGTAGTTATCCATTGTAATTGGTAATAGATTAATCCAGAGTCATGCAAGCGTCTGGGTGGAGCTTCCTTGATAGGGACTGTGGCCAATTCCCGATCAACCGGCTAGGTTATCATGTCTGAGTGTCCCAACGAAGGGTGCGAAGCAATTAATCCAGTTTCACACTGTTTGCTCTCTTCATTCGTCGGCTATTCGTGCATTCGCCGCCTTGGAAGCCATGCGAGGTGCTTATCGTCAGCTGATGCTTTCAAATATCTCAACATACATTGATAACGCTTGTGTCTAGTAGTTCTCTGAATGGGTTGTCTGTTTTGATCGTGCCATAAAAGCACGAAGGCTTGTTCAATCCCCATTCCGCATGTTTCCTTCAACTACATCAAGTGATCAATTGTACTCGACCTCAACATGGAGCACAGCAAACCGGACCAAAAGAGTCCCATCGACATTTCCAACGAGGCCGTAACTTCGTCCGAAGATATCACCTATATTTCACCTGAAAGAGAAAGGGCCGCCCTGAGAAAATTTGACCGATGGCTCGTTCCAGTGGCATTCATCTTCATGGTTCTGTCTTCTTTGGACCGAAACAATGTAAGCAAACTGAAAACCCCATGACACCCGCACTTCTAACAGCACACGCAGATTGGAAATGCTAAAACATTCGGTTTCGAAGCGGATCTCGGACTAAAAGGAAACGAATTCGGAAATATTACTACCCTACTAAGTGTTGGTTTTGTTGGGTTCGAGGTTCCATGGGTCATGGCGGTCAAGAAGTTCGGCCCCAATAGAGCCCTTGGAACTGCACTTCTTCTCTGGAGTTCTGTTACTCTGGGTACCGCCTTCATTCGAAACTATAGTCAGGCCATCGCAGTCCGCATCTTGTTGGGCGCTTGCGAAGCTGGGATATCGCCCGGATTTGCCTATCTCTTTTCCACAATCTATCCTCGTCGCGCCGCTGGAAAACGAATTATGATGACGAATCTTGCTAATTGTACATCTGGTGCTTTTGGCGGTCTGTTTGCATACGCGGTTCAGACGATGGGAACCCGCCGGGGACTCGAACCTTGGAGATGGCTGTTTATCGTCGAATTCTGCCTCACAATGGTTGTCGGTGGAGCCTGCTGGTTTATTCTACCAAGCTCGCCCGAGAATGCATGGTTCCTTAACGCAGAGGAAAAAGAAACAATGATGATGAGAAAGGAACGAGATGCACTCTACAGAGGTGAAGGAGAGGCCAATGCCAACCGCAGGTGGATCAAGGTTTCTTTCACAGATCCGTTTGTTTACCTGGTCGGAATCGCCTTTTTCACCTCATCGGTTGCTATCACCGGCTTTGGAGTCTTCCTGCCCACTATTATCCAAGGTTTGGGGTAAGTGAAATCTGCCTTGTTGCATGCAGTACCGTGAACTGACTGACTAACTCCCTCGCAGCTACACGTCCCTCCAGGTCCAATACATGACTATTCCAGTCTATGTAGTTGGTGCCTTTTGTCTTGTGACGAATTGTTATCTTTCCGACAGGTGGCAACGGCGCGCCCCGTTTTTGGTCGCGTGCTGTTTCCCAGTCATGGTAGGCTATCTCATATGCGTTGGAACACCCAATTCTCAGGCTGGGTACGCTGGAATGTTTATTCTTGTTTTGGGTCAGTCTCGGTCTCCCACCGTGTTAAGTTGGCATCTAATTTCAGAGCAGGTCTCTATAGTATTTCCACACTGGTGGTCGCTTGGGTCGGCACCAACATGTCACCGGACGGAAAGCGTGCAATTGCCATGCCATTTGCTTATTCTATCGCCAATCTGTCGGCTCTTGTGTCGGGACAGCTATACCCCTCGTACCAAGGACCAAGGTACATACAAGGCAATGCGATTTCTGCCGGGTTAACCGTCGTCGCCGCGGGGCTGTACTTCTCGTGTTGGATGCTGCTTAGGTATAGAAACAACAAGAAGGCCAAAGTTATTGCTGAAGGTGGCACCACGAACGGTTATACGGATAATCGAGGCATCCTTTTCGAGTATATGCTATAAGAGGGAGAAGCTTATCTCGGAGGCGGCAACGAGTTGTTTTTAGCAAGCGGTGCTATCTGGAGGTATGGTGACATCTTAAGATGATGAGAGTTAGCAATGACTAGGGTTTAAAAACTCCAACCTTCTATATTTATTACAATTATTCTATCTCGGAAATTAATCTACTTAATTTCCAATGATTCTTTTTCTACATTATATATAAGACGCCTTCTACAAGGGATCAAAGGATAGATCCAACTGATATTATCTCTCCTCAACGCCGACCTTAGTAGGAAGCACAAAGTGAGGGGTTCTAGAAGCTTGACATTCTTATTAAATTCTACGGAGAGGCATTTGATTAAGGGGTATACCGTCTTTCAGCATGTAATAGACTTAAAAGTCTATCTTAGAAGAACAGGTAAGAAATGCTAGGCTAATCCACCTATGCTATAGACAATCCGGTCTTAAAGCGAGAGCAAATGACTTGCTGTTGAATGTGGCAAAAGGCCTAGTTTCGGAAAAGTCTTAAGACTAGACCGCTGGAACGGAGATTCAGAATATTCAGCGATCATTGTAGGTTGATAACACTCCGGCGTTTGACGCAGACTGCCGAAGACTAATCTACCGACCCCGCCACCGATTGAACCATGCACCTACTTAGTGCTATCTCCGTGGACATGGTGTCTGTAGGGAACGGAACCCTGCAACTCCAGAGGATTGTACAATCGGACTTTATCCAAATCACCTATCAATTAGATAGCATTAGCAACATTCGGTAGAACAGGTCGAAAGGAGGCCTGGTCAGTGGTTCTTATTCGATCAACCGATAAAGTAACTCAATCATATTACTTCAGAATATAAAGTATCCATGAGATAGAGCATGTGGACCACAGAGGCTACAAGACAGAGAGCATCCTTGTTGGCATTTATGTCGCTGCTATGCCAACCATATAAATGCCTGGATTACGGCCTGATCAGGGAGAAGTTTCCGTAACTCTAATCTAATCTCTATACACGACCAGAAGTCATCAACAGCCATGGCTAGCATCACAACATCGAGACCCCGCAATTTTACTGGATATGGTGACAATCCTCCCAAGTTTGCTTGGCCTGGAGGAAAGAAAGTTGCCATCAATTTTGCAATTAATTACGAAGAAGGAACAGAGCGAAATCCACTTATAGGGGATTCGTCCCGTGATTCTAGGTCGTGGGTCAAATGTGTTCTTCCCGACACTGAGCGCGACTTGATGCAAGAAGGCGAATACGAGTATGGAACTCGAACCGGAATTTGGCGCTTGATACGCATCTTCAACGAGTTTCGGGTTCCATTCAGCGTTTTTGTGTCTTCTGAGGCCTTGTTGGTTAACTCGGAACTTGCCGAGAGGTTGAAGACCGAAAACTGCGACATGGTCTCACATGGCACTCGCTCCATCAGTCGTGTAGGACAGACAGAGGAGACAGAGAGAGAGGATCTCCGCAAATCCATTGACCAGACCTTTCAACTCACGGGAAAGAAGATTCTTGGCGCTTTCCCCAGGCCGCCTATTACGGAAAATTCCCGCCGTATCATGGCTGAGGAAGGTTTACTCTATGATTCGGCCACTTCCAATGACGACCGTCCATACTTTGACCAAGTGTGTGGCAGGCCGATGCTTGTGCTTCCTTATGCTCTTGACACAAACGACGCACGCTTCTGGGGCGGGCAGTCCGGGCCAGGCTTTACTGGTTCCACGGACTTTTTCGACTACCTCAAAGACGCCTTTGATGTTCTCTATCGTGAGTCGGACGAGAGCGCAACCATGATGTCGATTGGATTACATGCCCGGATCATGCGTCCAGGACGCGTGGCATCTTTAATCCGCTTCCTCGAGTACATCAAGGCGTTTGATGGCACCTGGGTAGCTATGCGGAGTGATATAGCTATGCATTTTGCGAGGCACTTCGCTCCGGCTAATACTTGGAATCTCGACGCTATTCGAGAAGAGGCTGAGATAGTACAACCTGTCTGCAACTAACTACAGCAATAGCCTAAGCTCTTTTCTCCCGAGATATTGAGCCATGCCACCGTGCGGCCGCCCGTCTTGAGTCTAGAATGGTCTGGATAATCAGTTCAAATTATTTAGACATACACGTACCCTTCGGGGCCTCCAGGGGTGTCAAGCAGAGTGGTATCGGTCCGGAACTGGGTGAGGCAGGTTTGGCGGCTTGTTCGCAGATTGCGGTTATTCATATGAACCTAGACTCGCAGCTTTAATGTACACTTCGATAAAGATCTGAACGAAACTTTAGCCCTTCCATATGTGTTTCATCTCATTGCGAGACTAGTTCTACCAATGGTTTATGCTTATTCTTTACGACGTCGCCTCACGGATTGCTTCTTCTATAAGAGGCTAGTGAATATCAGCGGTCAAGTTCAACTTTGGCCGGGTGAAAAACCAACACCCAGACTCCCATTTCTTCTCATTATCACCTAAATTTTTGCTAAGCCTCTAAATATAATTCAGTAGCATCTAATTACAAGCACTCATCTGATTTGTATCGTTGCGTTCCAGCTTGTTATAAAGACGGTGTACAGCACGATTATCAGAGTTGTATTTCCACGACCGGCCCAGTATATTCCTTTCTCCCCACCACAAAATACCAGACAATGGCAAAGAGCAGTGTTCCGCCCCAAGTCAAGGCACTAAAGTTCATACTTTCAGGTGTCACTTCGGGAGTGGGAGGCCAGAACGCGAAGAACCAGACAACGAACAAGTAAATGCAAGCAAATGAGTTGTTGACTATACCAAAGAAACCGGGTATTCTCCACGGTCCCCATTGTAGGCTGTTGGGACCAACATGCGTCGTTAGGTCATTGTAGGATCGAATGCCATTCGGTTGCAGGCGCCGCCAGAGAAGTAGTGCGCAGCAGAGCAGATACGACGAGTAGAGGCCGACTGCGCTGAGGTTGACAATGTTGCTGAAGGCGACGCTCGAGCCGAGGGTGATGAGTGAGAGAAGAACGGACACCAGGGTGGTGAATCCCACGGTGTATATGGGAATTGCTGTTCGGCTGTGGAGCTGAGAAAAGAAGCATGTTAGCAAGAGCCAGTTGGCACATCGCGGGAAATCTCTACCTTGACGAAGTACTTCCAGAAGGGGACACCTCGATCTCTGGCAAAAGACCAGAGCATTCTTGATGAAGACGCCAGAACGCCAACAGTGCTACAGATGCCGAGTATGACAATGATGAGTCCCATTACCCCCGCGCCGTTTCTTGATCCTGTTCCGTTCCAGAAGACCTGAAGAAATGGGTATCCCAGAGTATACTGAGCCTCGAGGGCGCTATCAATATCCCCAAGACAAAGCAGGTAGGCAAGCAACATGGCCAGTCCAAGGATGCCATTGATTCCAAGGCTGAAAAGAACAGCACGTGGGACAACAACGGAGGCGTTCTTGATCTCTTCGGCCATCTTTATGAGAGTCACGTTAGTCAACATGCTTATGTACTGCTGGTTATATAGTACCTACGTGCACGGCAGAGTCTGCACCGACGAGAGAGAATACTGAGGCTGGAAGGCCGACCATGAAAGAGAGACCCATTGTCGGCCATCCTCCTCCGTTTAAAAAAGTCGTAAAGACAGAAGAGTCCCCGTGGGGAGCTAGATAAACGAAAGGGATCAAGATGGCGAAGAAACCTAAGATGTGTAGGACCAGAATTAAGCCCTCAAACTGAGACAAGGTCTTGCTAGCGACAGTGTTGATGAGGACTGCAAAGGCAAGAATGACCCATAAGAACATCATGGTTTGCCATGGCTGAGGAACATAGTCGGGGACGAAGAGCATGATCACACTTTGGAGCAGGGAGCCAATCAGATAGGCTGCGGAGGCTGGTACCGCCTGCCACCCTGCAAATGTCATCCAACCTTATTATTTCGTCAGTTATTATCCAGAACTGGGAGTCTGTTTGTGGTCTGCATATTACCGGTAATGTAGCTTAGAAAGTTTCTCGATGACTCCGGTGACAACATCGCCACCCAGCTTTATAGAAAATTAGCTGACAGATGAACCAAACTGAGATTTAATGGGAATGCATACTGGTATTGTCCTCCCGAAGTTGGTGCCCTAGAATTTGACGAGTGAGCACACTGGATCTCTACTTTAGTGAGATGATCACGCTGCTACTCACATGGAGGCTAGTTCTGAGAGGACGCTATAAGTAGAGATGCTCCCAAGCCACACAATAAGATATCCCCATAAGACGCCTCCTGGGCCGCCACTGGAGAGTTGTGCAGCATGTGAGCAAAGACGCTTCTGAGATAAGTAAGTTCAATTTGCTTACTTTACGAGACTTTGAGTTGAGACACTACGCTATGTGTGTGAGACGACGCAGTGTCCAAATACGGGAGTGTTGCCGATACCTACATCATAATTCCCTCCCATGTGATCAAGACGGTGCATGAGAATCCTAGAATGGACATGAACCCAAAGTTTCTCTAATTATTAGTTAGAATGCTGCCATGGGGAGGAGAATTTGGGGAATAATTACCTTTAGAACTGGCCGTTTACCTAACCTGATCAAATCTCTATCATCCGTACTTATTTCATAGCTGTTGCTGTGGTCTGCGACAGCCGAGGGCTTGGAGCCCCGGTCACGCAATTCGAGATCCATCTAGAGATGAATGTTCTAACCGTCTGATTAGTGTCAGATTGAGAATTAGAGCAGATGAATGAAAAGAAGAAGAGAGAATGAGAGAAAATAATGCAAAGGGGGAGGAAAGTCGAACAGTAGAAAGGCAACTCACCTAACACTACTCTAGATGGGTATGGATAGCAAATCGGTCCAGCTCGAAATGTCAGGTGTTATATTACCTCTGAAGGAAGAGGCGCACGCGATATGCTAATCGGTTTCTCAATCGCTACCAGACATGTTGCATTGCGCATAGTGGTGGCTGTCACTCACTGGCATAAATAGAATGCTACCCCTGAATCCTGATGGCCCCGAGCTCTCTTGCGCAGAGCGATCCAGGTTCAATGTACAATGTATACACCGGGCCTAGACCACCATTGTAACATCGGATGATGCGAAATAGAATGCCTCTTCTGACTGTGCCGGAGAAGAATCACTGCAGCGGTCCAACCGGATACGGATACAAGGGTGCTAACAGGGATCAGGTTTGTCAGTTGTCCCATTTCGATCCCACTCGCCACTTTCTATCCTCCCCTGCGATCTGAGCCTACGGGGAGCTAAATCCTTCGGTTCGGTATGGGCTTGGCAGAGAAAACAAGGTGGCTTCCGTCGTTTTCCTGATGGCAAGGATCAATGTCACCGTATCAATGCCTCGTTGCGGCGGCACACGACTTCAGATATGTCGAGACTGCACTCTTTGTAAGATTCGCCGGATTGAAATGTAAGGAAGCGTCTTTCCAGCTTGTAATTTCCACGTTCAAGTCATTTCTTGAGAATTCTTTGGCTTGGGTGACTCTGAGATCAGTCCCGCGGACCTCCTTATTGACAAACGCGATCATGGACGACAATCGGCCTCATATCACTGACAATGATTTGTCCCCTCTGATTCAGATCTTGACTTGGTTGTGGTTGACATTTTCCCTTCTTTTCGCTGTTTCTCAATTCTTCACCAAATGGACACTCTCCAGGCGCCCAGCACTCGCTGATGCAATTCTGACCCTCGCTCTTGTAACCAATATCTCATCTCCAAGGCTTGTCACGGACTTCTAGCTAATGGCCGGCTGTGAAACATAGATTTGTGCATCAGCGCAGGCGGCCACTGTCCTCAGCACCCCGGGAAGAGTGATCGGGAAATCGCATGCTCTTCTAGACGATGGGCAAATCAGAGACGCTCTAAAGGTATTGTGATCTACCACCCCACCCTCTTGCACCGAGGTTCATGACGTTTAAATTCTGACAAGTCGAGTAGGTTCTGTATGCGAGCGACATACTCACGTTCTTTTCACTCGCGATAACAAAAGCTTCCGTCCTCGTTGCCTTTCTCGACATTACTCCATCCCGACCGCACCGACTTGCAATTTACATAACTGGTGGCGTTGTGGGAGCATGGGGCGTTGCTGCTGTATTCACCACCGCATTCCAATGCCCAGGTCCAGACAGATGGGATGCTACGAGCGCATCTTGCGTGGATATCGTGAGTGTAGTTTGCATCTACAGTCCTTCGGTGTCTGAATTGACCAAAATATATATAGGCGGCGGCGCAGACAGCTCTATCTAGCATCATGATTCTCACGGATGCTGCTTTGGTGGCGATCCCAACAGTTGTTGTTGTTCCGCTCAAGGTGAAATGGTCAAAACGCTTGACAGTACTGGCAGGTTTTTGGGCTCGGATCTTGTACGTTTCATAAAAACATGTGGTATTTTTCAGTCGACGACGACCACTAATTCTATTGGTATCTACCAGTGTCATCGCAGCTACCATCGTCTATATGGTCTTCTTGCAAAAAATGCCTCGCGATGGGGATTATTTATTGGATGTGACCAATACCCTTCTTTGCAAAGAAACCATCCAGATGACAAGCATTCTGGCGGCGACCATTCCGTTTCTGAAGCCGTTCCTGATCAGCCTGGAGTCGGGCTTTCTTCGAGCAGATGATGAGAATCGCCGAGTTGACACGACTGCGTATGGGACAGGAGATGCTCCGAGCAAGCCGACAAAAAGTGGCAGGTCTGGACGGAGTTCGTCCAAGTACGTGCAAATCCCGGATAAACACCCTTCTGCACAGCCGTCAATAGAACTTCGGTCGACCGAAAGCCGGGATGCAACTCTTCTCGGGCATGAGTAGATAGGTACATAGATAGTAGTCTTATGTCTCTTTTAAGTAATGGCCGAAATAAAGCATAACCATCATCTGTCACCGATGCATCGTATTACCTGCCATTATGAACATGTGTGTAATCAAGCCTGGCTTGTAGGCCAACCCCCCTTTTTGCTGGGGGGGCGTGCATCGGCCCGGTGCCGTTGCCTCCTTTATTGAACCGGGGTTATAGACTCGAAGGATTCAGTGCCGCATACAAAATGTAACAGGTTTTAGATAAGAAAATAGCACCTTGTAACCCCACGGCATCGACGTCTAGCAGGGATACTGATGGCATCTGACCCCAGGTTTACGAGTTACCGTAGTGCATCAGGATTTACCTGACGAGTCACCGTTTAATCACATAAAATATAGTTGTATAACTTATAATCATAGATTTAACTAGTCTTTTTCAGCTAGGAGGGGTAGGGATCGAACGGAAGCCATCCATCTTGTTTATCAACGCCAAGGCTGGCCTAGAGCTTCCCAAGCACGCAGTAGATTGTCTAATACCCCTGATGGTACCTAGTTCAATGATGAAAGACTGCATTGCACCGAATGCAACTACTGGATACCAGCGTCAACAAGAGGGGGCACAGGACTGCCACGCTTCTCGATTCCGGCATCAACCAAAGGTGGGACAGGGCTTGCGCGCTTCTCAATACCAGCGTCGACGAGAGGGGGAACAGGGCTTCCGCGTTTCTCAATGCCAGCATCAACTAGGGGCGGGACGGGGCTTGCACGTTTCTCGATTCCAGCGTCAACCAGGGGAGGTACTGGACTTGCTCTCTTCTCGATTCCAGCATCAACGAGAGGAGGGACTGGGCTTGCTCTCTTCTCAATACCAGCATCAACGAGAGGAGGTAATGGGCTTGCTCTCTTCTCGATTCCAGCATCAACCAGAGGGGGGACTGGGCTTGCTCTTTTCTCGATTCCAGCATCAACGAGAGGAGGAACTGGACTTCCCCTCTTCTCAACTGAACCTACATCCCAGAAGTTAGGTAAAAAATTTATAGAATTGAAGAATGAAAATCTTACCCAGAGGTGCGGCAGAAGTGCCCAGGGCAAGAGCCAATGCTAAGATGGTACGGAACTGCATGGTTGCCAGTTTATAGTGATTTGATGATTGGAAAAGGATGTGATGTTGGAAACTCTGATAAACACGTAGCTTGTGAGGGTCAGTTATTCAGAACTACTGACGCCCTAGTTATACTTCTTTAGTCTGACAGTCTCAATTCTCCCTAAATCGTGACACCGGGACATAATCGCGCAAGAGTAAGCCGAAGCAGGATGTGATTTGCCAGAATTGAACTGTATTCAGCCGAAGAGAACAAGATAATTGCGTCCATACCGGACCGGCTAACCACTCGGCGCCTCGCTTGTCACTATGCATATCTTAGATCCAATCCCACATGCACGAGCAACTCCTTTGCAACAAGATTGACCAGTAACAGACAGCCAGCGTGATGTTTCCGAGCGTGGGAATACAACATCAGATCACATGAGCATAATTGTACCAATAAGACCAAGAGAACCGTCTTATGCCTTTCATGCAAGATTATCGTGTGCCTACCATTGCCTGAATCCCACGGCGATGTTCGGAAGAGGATCTCTCAAACCCCTCTTTCTACATTCCGACAAAGATGAATCACATTGCCGAAAGAATCGTAATCACAATAGCCGGATAGAGTGGTTTGCGGTTTTTTTCTCTCTTTAATTCAAGAACATCTCCGAGGATAAATTCTACTGTGTGATTTACCCACACCAATTCTATTTCATCGATCAGGTGCACCTAAGCTACTCAACTATCTACACTTCATGATGGGCAAGTACGAAGAGATACCTTCCTCTGACTCTCTTGAGAGTCATGAGCCCTTCCTTAGCCATCCCAGGTTCACGGTCCAGAGTGAACACAAGGCGTTTCGGATCCTACGCCATGGAGTAGTCACAGTGCTCGTTATTTACGCAGCAGTGTCGACTGGAGCACTGGTTTGGCTTGGACGCCAACGTGTTCCGCAACCATACAGTTCGTCTTCCTCCCTTTTGTACCTTTATTGAAGTTTAGTTTCTCATCAAGTACATCAAGCACCTGCAAGCGGCGTCATTTCTTATAGACGCCAGCCATTATATTTTGGCGAGGACAAGTTGTTCGCTGGGAGCCCGGACCATGTCGATCGAGCATGGCGTCAGCTTCTTGAGCGTATGTATAGAAAATACACCCATCAAGCAAGATCAACTTAGTTCTAACGGTCTTTTGCAGCTCTTAACATCCGGACGTCCTATCAAGAGCAACTGGCGGCTCACGCAGAAATCACTGATGAGATACTTCAACCATCAGACGGAGGTTATGTTGGAGTATTGTCTGTTTATCATGAGCTCCATTGCTTAGTAAGTATACATTCCGCATACCATCCTTGAGGGAAAATCACTGAGCCTGAAGCAGGACACATTGCGAATGAACATGGATCCTGAACGATACTACGCAGGCATTTCAGAAGCCGAAAAGCAGAACAATATTGTTCACATGAGTAAGTAAAAGTGAAAATCTTACTGTTTTTGCTTCAATGAGGTTGGACTGAACACACGCTGACACATGACAGCACATTGCGTTGACACCATCCGGCGCAGTCTCATGTGCAAGGCTGACCCCGCCATGTACACTGGGTACTGGATTGCAAATCATACTGTAATCCCAAGCAAAGAGCTGCGGTCGAACTCCGATACCATCTGCGTCAACTGGGAGGCCCTGGACGGCTGGGCCCGAGAACGGCTTCTGCCAGCGGACAAGTACAAGGTCAAAGCAGGTCCGTTCGAGAACCAGATGCCAACCCACCACCACCATAATGGCTAAGCACCCAATCGCATTCGGCAATTTGTCAACACCTCCTCTCTGCCAGCTCATTGATGCGGGTATTGGGGGTGGTTTAGAAAAGGGGGGGCGGGCGGGGATTAGGCTGCATAATGTCACTTTGACAGGGATAGATGTGACAGTATGTGACGGGACAAGAGAGAACGAGGTCACCAAAGTACTTTTCGAGGCTGAGTGTAGATAAGAAGCGGGCGGAATTCTCTGTCCAATATCATTTTATTGTGAAATGACGTGCGGTGGAAGTGGTCACGCCATGCAAGCATCGAGGCAAGGGAAGCCGGGGTGATAATGGCGAACAGACGAGAGAAATCAAATATGTTACATTAACTAATAACAATATAAAGTGTCTGTGTGCACACTGCCTCAATAATGCATAATACCAGGCACACGGGGAGACCGGCTCCAAATCCTCCATCGCAAGCTGACCGCATCAGACCCATAACCATGCACACAGCTGCACCTCAAACGGTTGCCAGTACCCTTGTAACATGGAGATATGCCAAAAAGGCAGCACGGAATGGTGACATGGTTATAATCAAACACCATGCCGTTTAAAAAGTATGGTCACTCGGTCACAATGCAGGCTTGATTCGACTACTTCTTTCTTCCTTCCATCTTCATGCTACCAACCACTGGCAAACAGTTCTTCTTCACTCCATACACCATGACCGAGGGAATAGCGCCATTCACTGTCCCGGGCCTAGCCGAGCCCGCCAAGACCTGGTTCAAGACCTTTGGGGACTTTAGCACAAACTCAACCCCATTGATCGTCCTTCATGGGGGTCCAGGAGCCTGCCATGATTACCTTCTACCTTTGACGGATCTGAACGTTCCTCTTGTCTTTTACGACCAGATCGGCAATGGACTATCGACCCATTTGCCCGAGAAGAACGGCGACGAGGAGTTCTGGTCTGTCGATCTCTTCAAAGACGAGTTGGATAATCTGATTGGTTATCTTGGCCTGAAGGATCGTCCAATTGACATTTACGGACACTCTTGGGGTGGAATGCTCGCTGCAGAGTGGGCAGTGACTGAATCGAGCTCAAACCTCCGACGACTGATTATCTCCAACAGCCTGGCAAGCATGGACACCTGGCGAATAGGGATGGATTCTCTCAAGGCGCAGCTGCCTAGCTGCATTCGAGATGTCCTAGATATGGCAGAGAAGACGGAAAACTTTACCACCCCCGAGTACAACAATGCAATCGAGTACTTCTACAAACGTCATCTAAGCTTAGCCCGGCCTTGGCCAGCACCCGAGGTTGAGGCGGCTTTGAATTGGTTTGCTACAGACGGAACAACCTACGAAACAATGTATGTATACCACGCGCTCCGGCACGACAAAAAACCCACGTACATGACATGCATACTAACGATGGCCGCAATCTATAGGTACGGTCCAAGTGAGCTGTACATAACTGGAAACCTGCGCAACTGGACCATTATCCCTGAACTGCATAAGATCAAAGTGCCCACCCTCTTGATCAATGCCGACATGGACGAGGCGCAGGATGTGACGATGCAACCCTTTTCTGACAACATCAAAGATTCCAAATGGATCAAGATGAAAAATGCGGCGCACTTTTCCCACGTTGACAAGAGAGAGGAGTACATCCAGCATGTACAAAGCTTCCTGATCTAAGCGCTCATGCATGCAACGTCAACGCATGATGTTAACCAACTTCAATATTTGATAACAACTGCAGACAATGCCCACATTCGGTTTCGGGATACTTCATGTATTTTTTATTTATTTACACTATTAACCTTCCTAATAGAGTTATTGGCATTGGCACTTGAGGTTGCATCCGCTCTCTATTGAGCGAGAAGTGAATCCGGAACTAGCCGTAATCAGCTTATAAAAGCGAGTGTCAGCTTTGAACGTCCAGTGACATCCTACCTTGGAAGGATCAGAAGGTTAAATTATAACTTGTCACCTTCAAGCAGCAGATAGGATTCAATGCCAAGCATTACTGCAAGCCCATGAAGGAAAAAGATATGTCTAGCGTGATGCAATCTTGCGAGTAACATCAGGTGGCAGCCTTCACCGCCGTTAACGGAAATATACTGCGAAGGTACCTATTGTTCCTGCGATGGATCACAATGTATCCCCTAATGGTAATATATGCGAGCGTGGCGTTTGTGCAGGGTGTATCGGACCCCCAACTCTCAGAATGAACCCCGTAAGCCCTAAGCAGATACCGCCGAGTGAAACCAACAGAACAATCAGTTGGCCCCGACCATTCCATTGATGCAAACTGCAAAGTAACTGTCAGGGTGCCTCCCCCCACCCTCGCCCCCTTGTTCAGTCTCTCTGCCACTAAACTGACCGGCAAGCACCCGCTCCTGTCAACCTTGTGCTGGGCATCCGATCGGTAACCTCGGCTCGCTCGCCATGAGCCGGCATAGAACCACCCCCCAGGGGCCACATCATTTGTACGGATTCCGCAGGTAGTATTAGTTCGTAGGCACGTTGGCGCTACCGTGGGGAAAGTGTCAAAACAATGCACCGTGGCTGGAGGTGGGGTTGCAACAGTGAAGTGGCCAGATTCTCCGAGAGTCAGTCTGAGCAGTGAGAAGTATAGAAATTGAAACTCGGCGTCTGGCGGGATGGACTAGGTCGAAGTGTCACGCATCCAGGCGTGCCCCTCTTTCGCCTCCCCTTATTTCCTCAAGACGCGGTAAGCAATCCGAGCAAGTGCAAGTTTCAAGTTGTTTCGGAAATACATCTTGCCGGATGCATTCCCCTGTGGAATCACGAGAGGCTGGGCTTCTCCAGAGCGAGGAGCCCACAGATGACCTCCCCAGAGAGGCGACGGAGGACGAGATCGAGACTTTAGTCCATGAACCTCAAGATATCCCTATCACCGCATGGCTCCTGTCCTTTACGGGAGCTGGAGCTAATCTTGCTCGTTTCGGTATTACTGTGACATGGCGTACGTGATCCATTATCCCATATGGGCAGATTGACAGCTAACGGGAATCATAGAGAACTATCTCCAGAACCCTCGCGGGAACCCGCTGCTTCCTGGGGCATTGGGGTTGGGCCAGGCTACGGCAACGACCATTCAGAGCGCATTTCTATTCTTTCGCTACTTAACGCCAATCCCATTTGCAGTAGTGTCGGACGCATACCTTGGCCGCCATACAACCATGCACATCAGCCTTGGGTATGTGATTCTTCTCCAAGCCAAAATATCTCTTGATCTAACCACGTATATTTCAGGCTGCTTGTCGCTGGGTATATTGTCCTCGTTGCGACATCTATCCCCAGTGCGTTGGACCAGGGCGCCGGACTCCCTGGCCTCGTGGTCACCATGATTTTCGTTGGACTGGGCCAAGGAGGTCTGAGTGCAGTCATGTATCCCTTTATTGGTGTGTGAACTTCAAACCATTTCCTCATTTCATTGCCCTTAACTTGTGGTCTTTCATTGCTGATCGAGAATACAGCGGATCAGATACCTGATGAGAAACCAATGGTGCGACGGAACAAGAACGGGCAGCTTGTTGTTACTGAGCGCCAACTTGCCGTGCAATACGTATTTAATGGCTACTACTGGTATGCTAATTTGAACTCTGATACCGAGATTGAGATTGTTTCATAATCTTGCCCGGATTTGTTGACTGACTAGAACATCAGGATGGTCAATGTAGGATCCTTGGTGACGATTGCCACTACTCTAATCGAGAGACACGTCGACTTTTGGCTTGCATTTCTGCTGCCGACAGTCATATTCGTCATCACCATTTTCCCGGCCATATGGTGGCATAAGCGCATCGGTAAGTTGTCCGCCAGTCCGAAGAGTCGAGCTGTGAATCTAAGACGTCCCAGTCAAGTTGCCCCCCGAAGGCAACGTGCTACCTCAAGCAACCAAAGTTCTGCTCCTTGCCTCTGTTTCAGGATTTCGATTATCGGCTGCTTCTCCGGAGGCCCAAAAGAGTCTTCATGGTCGCGATGTCCCATGGACCAGCGCTTTCGTGAGCGAAATCCGGCGCGGCCTAAAGGGCTGCCGCGTGATAATATGCTTTGTCATTTTTTGGCTCTGCTACGACCAGTCTTCGAATAACATCATCTCACAAGCCGGTCAGATGAGGCCGGATGGCATCAATAACGATACAATACAGGCACTCAACTCTATTGCTTGCATCATCATTGCTCCTTTAATCCAGGATCTTCTCTTCCCGTTCTTACGCAAGCACAAGCTCCCATTCGGCCCCATATTGCGCATGACGGTTGGATTTTTATTCACTGCGGCCGCGATTGCCTATGCTGCCGGCATCCAGCATTACATCTATTCCAAGGGGCCTTGCTATAATTACCCTTTGGAATGCGATGCCGCGATATTGGAAGCAGACTCGGGGAAGCGAGGGCCCAATGATGTGAGCATATGGCTACAGACTCCTTTGCTTGTTCTTCTCGCCTTTGGAGAAATCCTTTGCCTTGTTTCATTGAATGAATATACGTATTCTGAGGCGCCGACAAATCTGAAATCAATGGTCCAAGCACTGCAGGCTGTTTCATCGGCTGCAGGTGCAGCATTAGGAATCGCATTAGGAATTGCCTCAAAGAACCCATACCTTGTCATTCTGTTCGGATCTATGGCTGGTGCCATGGCATTTTCGGCAGCTTTGTTTTGGATAGTTTTCCGAAAGTACGATACCGTTTATGAGACACGGAAGTCCAACCTGACAGCTGAAGCTGAGAGTTCAAGCAGTTGAAAAGGTCGTTGGGATAACCAGAGTGCCCTTACAAGACTAAGAGGGGTGTCTTTTTCGCTTATTCCTTTATTTTATCAATATAGTTCTGGTCCAAAGGGCATTAAATTCACATCACGGGTTTCTAAACGCACTTTCATTCCTTTGGTACTGCTTCCTGTGCATATGTTAACATGGAATATTAGTGTTTTCAAAGGAAAATCTTTACTTTTATAACGAGACGAACGAAAGAGAAAATGTCTTGACACTTTTTAGGTTTTTTTTTTGCACCCTATACCAACAGCAGGCTTAAGACATCCCTTTCCACCTTATGTCGCTAATAAACAGACATTCTCTGGCTCAAATAAATCTTGTCCGTGCAAAAGAAGAAAATGTACATTATTGTCAACCGCTTTCAAGGGCTAGAAGGGGGTTTCCAGTTCCAAAATCATCGTCGTATTACTTCTCTCCTTTGCTCTTCCATGGATTCAAAAGACCAACTGATCCTCACCTCGCCTCTGTCGCCAGTAGTTCGTCGCATCTAAAACCTCACCGCATCCCCAAAGCATCCAACCCCATTTTCGTAAAAAGTAGCTACTCGCCTCCCAGCTCCTGGGGTCTGAAGCATCCCCCCACACGATCAAGTTGGCTTTGCCCTCTAGACCTGGTCTGATATCGAGCAGATCAGCGCAGAGCTCATCCGTATCTACCCGACTATACTCGCGTAAGATGTTGTCCCTCATTTGGGGGATTGGGAAGAGGTCGATCCACGCGCAATGGGGCACTGTCAACTGCAGACTTGTGGGCTGTAGGCTCGGTGGACAGGAGTCAAGGATCAGCCGGCTCGAATTCTCCCTCGAAAATGGAGACATGGCCCTGTCTCGCTGCCAATGGCCTGAGACACCTAGAGTCAACCCATTTCGAATAAGGGCGTTGAGTATGTTGACCTGTATGATAGTAGACAACTGCCAGGGCTGTGGGTGGCCCAAGATGTAATCCTCGTACGCTTTTTGAACAAACTGAACGAGTGCGCCGAGAACACCGGGCTGGAGCAACGCGCAGCGAGCTGCAGGTTTTCGGCGATTGGAAGCCTCAAGCTTCTGCAGTATGGGAGAGCTGGAGAGGATTTCCAGTGTCACTGTGCCGTCTGTAACTCGACACCATTTAGGCTTGGGTTGGTTTCTGGGTTGTAGGTTTGAGACTGTCGACTGTCTTCGACCGGTTTTCCTCCTTTCTACGAGCCATGAGCAAAATTATAGCCTAAAATTGGCGACGAAAGAAGACAGGACTAACCATAGGCTCTTTGGTTGAGGCGATTTTGAAGCTTGCGCCTCCTAGCGCTGTCGGTTGTCCCGGTCCAATCTTCGGCGACTGTCCGGATCTCTCGGCGTTGGATCATATCACTCAGCACTATTGGAGGAGCTATGGGGTCATCGTCAGGGCAAGCTGCCATCCTGGCCAGATCTTGTAACGCAGTATGCGCGAGTTCTCGGGGTTCGAGCATCGTGGAGGAGAGAAACTTGGATTCCTGGCCTGGCCTTATGCAACTTGCTGAGGTTTGGTGCTGACGCCTTGCCGGGGTATCCAGCCTGTCAGCAGTCTGAGCCAGTCTCGTAAGCGCAAATTGCTCCGCATCTAAGCAGGTTGCATTAGCTTCAATTAGTCTAGCCAATCAACGGGTGTCGTGATGTTATCACCAGAGGAGGGCAAAAGGCAAATCCAAACTCATATGTCGAAGTACATCAGACACAAAAGTATAAGTACACAGCCTTTTGACGGATGTTTTAAGAATTTTTTCTACTCAAATCTGCCATCGAGATACAGAAGATAACCATGCCACTCCCCGAAAAAACGAAGCAATGGGTCGTCGAGCGGTTCGATGGCCCTTCAGGGCTGGAGTTCAGAGAGGCCGACATCCCTCCACTTGGCAATCATGATGTTCTCATCAGAGGTTAGTGTTTTCTCATGTGTCTGATTTTCAGCTAACAGAAATATCCCAGTCCACGCTATTTCGTTGAATTATCACGATGTTGGAACTCTTAGAGTATATTTTATCTACCCACTAGCCTATATCCTTCTAACAGAATCCAGGGACATTACCAACATGCTTTTAAAGGCGTTGTGCCTGTTTCAGATGGGTCCGGAGTTGTCATAAGTATCGGATCAGACGTCACAAGCTTCCATCCCGGGGATAAGGTTACAACAGTAATGAGTCCCTGGGAGACTGGCCCACTCAAGCAGTCCAATATCGACCGCCTTCTCGGAAACGCTTTGCATGGCGTCCTCCAGGAATATGCTGTAGTTCCAGAGCAGCATCTTATATCTCTTCCACTAAATCTTAGCTTCATTGAGGGTAGCACGTTGCCTGTTGCCGGTCTCGCGGCTTGGAACGCAATAAATGGTGTCCCAGGTCGTCCCCTTCTCCCGGGGCAATGGGTTCTCACCCAGGGTACTGGAGGCGTCAGCACATTTGTGATAATGGTAAGACCCCGCCCTAGAAGTAGCCCTAAACAAGGCTGACACCATTGGACAGTTTGCTAAAGCCATGGGTGCTAATGTCATTGCAACTACCTCATCCACTGCAAAAGCCGAGCGACTTCGAGAAATAGGGGCAGACCATGTCATCAACTATAAAGAAGTTCCCGATTGGGGTGATCATGCCAAAGCACTTACCCCTGGGGGAGAAGGAGTCGATCTGATGATCGAAATCGGCGGCGGTGCGACACTCAAACAAGTAAGTAGTCACATGATGGATTCATTTTTAGCACTGATGGAGTGCTGACTCGTGATAGTCTTTGAGTGCCGTGAAGCTGGATGGACTTATCTCGGTGGTTGGCTTGCGAGGAGGGGTGAACCCCGCAGACCAGCCCGTTTTATTGGATATTTTCTTTCGTTTCTGTACAATCCGCATCGCAATCGTTGGTCCTCGTGTTCAGTTCAAGGAGATGAATCATTTTATTGAAAGTAAGGCTATCAAGCCTGTGGTTGATGATCGGATCTTCAAACTTGAGGAGGCAAGAGATGCCTTTGAATATTTGGAATCAATGGGTCATGTCGGCAAAGTTTGTATCAAGGTAGTCAACGACGATTGAGGGCTCTAGTGAGCAAAGGCTGGAAGAGACTTGTGAAAGGCCACCCACAAGAGCAGCTCTACTGGTCTTTGTTTATCCCAAAAGAATATAGTATACGTGGTTCTCCCCGTTGCTTTAAGGGGAAACTGTTTCAATTCTACAACTATTTCCTAGGATAGAACCCCAGCGCTGAAGCGAAGACTTCACGGTCGAGCCCATTGCTCCAAATTTGTCCCTGACCTCACCCTAAGTCACGGTCACGAGGTATTTTTGTGACTGCGCCTGCGAAGGCCAGGTTGCAAGTCTTTTATTAAGCTTTGGGAATCGAATCTTGGTTTTTCTATACAACTATGTCAAGGTGGATAAGTCGCATATGGCTCTAAATATGTTTCATTGTAGCTGTTTGGGTTAACCCAGCTTGTTTTCTGTCTTAACTCACATTACAATACATCACTGGTCACCTTTTGCTGAATAAACGCATGTGTCATCGTGTAGTCAATAAACCCCTCGTTCGAAACAACAATCGGTTAATAAATGTTAGACAATTAACGAAGCGAAACATATGCCTTGAAGAAGAAATCCTACCCTAAGAGGGATACTCTTCCGCGTAGCGAATCCTTTGGCCCCGTTCATGCATGGAATATTTAGCCGACGTGGATGTGAATGGTTGCTGTCAGAGAGAAACGGGGCAAAACCCTGACGATGAAAACAAACGGCGGGGTTTCACGCTCATAACGCTCTTTTCGTGAGCCTAATCATCGAGGAATTTGACTGAACCAAAACACATCACACTGTAACTGTCTTGAACTTTATGATTGCATCTTCCAAAACGCCGAGATGGACCAGCTCGCCGACAATGAAATCAGGATCATCGAACTTCTTCCTGGAGAAGAGGGTGCCCCCATCAGGTGTAAAGCGCGCGCAGAGTTGGAGTCGAGTGAAATAACGTACGAGGCACTCTCCTACGTCTGGGGTAACCATTTGAACCAGGTCACGATCGAAGTGTCTGGACGACCATTACAGATTACCAAGACGTTGCACACTGCCCTTTGCCGGCTTCGTTTATCTGATGAAACCAGATCATTGTGGATCGACCAGCTGTGCATTAATCAAGATGATCTGAAGGAAAAAGCAGTCCAGGTGCAAAAAATGCGATCCATCTACTCCAACTGCACACGCTGCCTAGTTTGGTTGGGAGAAGTAGATGAGGCGTTTGAAATGCCCGATGCCGTTAATGCCGTCGCCTTTCTCGAATGCCTTGCCTCGTCCTCAGGCCCGTTCACCGAAGATTCCAAGCAGACTCGGTTGCGCCTTGAGTCAATGCCTACATTCCTGTCCGCTATGAAGGCCCTCAGAAGTATTTCCATTCAGGATTGCCCATGGTGGCATCGAGTATGGACAGTTCAAGAAAGCATTCTTCCCTCAGACAAAACTTTTATCTGGGGTCCTCTACAAATAACCTGGGATACATTGTCGAATGCAACCCAAGCATGGATTTCGGGTAGTTCGGAGAGTTGGCTTGATTATGAATACGAGTCCATTGCTGCTGAAGTAGGCGATTTGGGCAACTTCCTGGCACGAATAGTATGGATTCAAATAGCGCAAGATGGTACCGATGACCTCTTCAAGTCGATGATAAGATGGCGGAGCCGAAAAGCGACGGACCCTTTAGACAACATATATGCGCTGACCGGTCTGCACCCGCCAGGAGAATTCCCGCGAATCGAAAGGTGCGACTACAGTCTCAGTGTCGTCCGCCTCTATTCCGAGTTCACTGTAGACCTCATCAACAAGTTTGGGCTGATTATTCTCGGTTTTGACCCACGTCTGGAGCCTGAGATAGCCACGCCGGGATTGCCACGATGGGCGCTTGACATGAAGTCATGGCCCAACCATACAATTTTTCACTGGTATAACTATTGGGGCTATGACTACTATCATGCGAACGACGGGTTAACGACAGTTCCCGTTGAACACAACACCGAAGACAATACTCTAGGTCTAAGCGGGAGTTTCTTAGATACGGTCAAATTGATCGGTGATGGATATTATTTCACAGAGGAGGAAGGGGGACAGCCCCCAGTTTCATTGCTCAAGGGCTGGATGGAGCTTTACACCAGAGATCTCGAATCTTCCAAGCCGGATGCATCATCAATTTCCCCATCAACGATCTCGACAGCTCTCAGAACGTTCAGTAAACTTGTTATCGGAGAGTTCATCCGAAATTCTGAGTGGCAGGTCGAGCGGGAGGCCACCGACGAGGATGTGGATAACGTAACAAAGTTCATCGAAACTGGGTCAGAAGAATTCCGGGACACCAGCATCTCTGGAATGGCTCGGAACCAGAGGTTTTTCGTAACAGAAAAGGGTATGATGGGCATCGGGCATCTGGATACGAAGCCCGGTGATGAAGTCTGGGTTTTCAGTCTCGGCGAAGTGCCATTTCTCGTGAGACCAAAAAAGCAGGATGAGACTCTGGCTGAGCACTTTGATTTCGTTGGACAATGCTATGTACAAGGAATCATGCAGGGAGAAATGTTTGAAGGGGACGAGCCAAAACCTCCGCAGCGGACAATTCAGATACATTAGTCAGGTTGAAAGATATCAGGCAAGTATCCGTGTATTTGAAAAGACTACTTTTTTTCTACACCGAGCTAAATAGATCCAACGCAAAGCTACGAAAAAGATGAGGGTAAGATCTCATTATCAAATTCAGTCCAGCTTTTATGAACCTCGCGGAATCAGGTTTGTCAGTATTACTGTCAATGCAAAAATCGATTCTGGCCATTTAAGCCAGCAGGCCAAAGCAAACATATTAGTTCCCAACTGGCCGTTCACAGAAGTTTTGACTATCTACTCCGTTACCAAACCATTTAGGCGGAGATCTAGATAAGCTCCGATGTTATTCTCGTTTGATGAGTTCTCTCTGGAAGCTGGTCTCTTATTGCCGACAAGGTTCATTTCACATATTGCATACTGGCATATTATATGTAGGACACTCTGCCCCTGCAAGTTCAATGAGGATCAATATACGTGATATAGTCAGCAGTGACCTCTCAGGGCATTAGAGATTTGCGAAAATTTGATATAGATTTTAACTAGTTATTATTGAAGACAAGCTTATGGCTCCAGGGTAGCTTGCAGTTGCTCAGACGTCCATTGTGAATGTTCAGCTCTCCACTGACTCCGCCACAAGCTAAGCCACTGCTTTCCGTAATGTTCCCCAAAACATAAGCTGAACCACATCACCATCCATCCCCTCATTCCTACATGTAATAATCGCATCGTGCGACATACGCCTCGCCTCCTGAGCTTGGGTGAGAGCAAACGCCACAGAATACGATATGTCGATGCAGGGTGGCTCAGAGCATGGTGGAGGTGGTGGTAATGGACCAGATACTGCGGGAAACGATCAAGCCGACTCGCGAACTGTGATCACCTCCGCGCAATGGGCCAGGTACACACAATTCCGCATCTCCCAACTCTGCGAAGAAGTTGGAGATAACGACTGTTACTTTCAGCTCGTCTAACTCGGAGCTTTTAGTCCTCGGAAAGTCAATCTCAACAGAACTAAAACGAGGAAATGGGTCGAAGTAAAACCTACCTATGATGACGTCGACTGGGGAGCGTCAGAGTCAGAGCCTGAGAACATGGGCCTGCCCGATGGGCTACCGCCGCGTCGTTATCAATCTGCTAATAAAGCTAATAATGACAACAATGAACTAGCCCCTTCACTAGATCCCCTCACACCTCGCCAGAAAACGAGCAAATGGGTCGAAACCAAGATAAATAGCTACGGAGGAGTTGATTGGTCAGATTTTGACGATGCCGCTGAGCTTCAGTCAGTCGCTTCCGTGGGTGGCAGTCGATCAGCTTCTGATAAGCATAATTCTGCGGTTGGCGATGAAGCTGATACTGTCCATTTCGCGAGTCAGCTTAGACCTAGATCAGAAAGTGAAGATGACGGGAAACTCGCTGCCACAACTAACCAGGCTATCCCTTCCGGGGCCGAAACGAACCTGTCTTCTTCCAAAGGCGAAGTGAGGAAGAAACAGATCAACAGTGGCATGGACAATGGGATCGTCTACCCCGGGAAGAGAGCTGAAGAATCAAGAGCCCAGAACTCTCAGGCCCCATTACTCAGCCAAGAGGCAGCAAAAGCTAAGGCCTTTACAAACGCGGCTAAAGAGAGTCTGAGCTTAACAAGTCCTTGGCCTAGTCGGCCTCACTGGAATATCACGAATCATGAAAAAGAACAGTACGACTCGATATATCGCAGATATCTTGGGAAAACGGACAAAATTGCTTGTGCGTCAAGGCTTAACTTTCAAAGTCTCTATCCAATGAATAAAGTATGCTAATTCTTAGCAGTTGATTCTCTTGGGGATTTCCTTTCTGATGAAGAGATTTCACCTGATTCTGCTCGTATGGTTTGGACGCTTGTTAATCCATCTCTTGAGTCCACAATTAGCCAAGAAGCGTTTGAGATGTTTTTGCATATAATACTTACTTTAGGGTCAGCTTTCAGCCTGTTCAACCCGCCTTTTGTTCTTCCTGAGGATATTCGAGCTACCTTCAGGCCTCGGGGCGATGAACCGAAGATGAATGTGAAGGCACAGCCCGTGGCCAGTGTGAATAATTTGGCTGGAATCCTCACAGATCTCGTTCACGATTCCAAACTTGATACACGGTTTGTGGAAGATGGGGGTGTTGTACATGTTTCATTCGTCTCTACTCCAGGCTTGCGGAGAAAGGAACGAAAGGAAGAGAGATGGAAATCGTCGAGAATCCTGGCTCGTGGGTCATTCGGACGCGTATGGCTTCAGGAGTGTACCCATGACAATGGATCGAAATCATTCCGTGCCGTCAAAGAGATATTCAAACAGAAGGTTGCTAATGAAGAGAAGCCAATCGACTATACTCGGGAGCTTGAGGCGATTGCCAAATTCTCACATACCAAGGTAAGCCACCGTGTTTGCATCTCTCCATCTGGTCGTAACTGACTTTTTTAACAAAGTATGTGTACTGTTTTGTTGAATCATTCGGGTGGTATGAAAGTGGCAGTGCGATCTTTATCACCATGGAGTACATGGAGAATGGAGATCTTCAGGAATATCTCTCAGTACCATTCCCTGAAGCAGAGGTAAAGGAGATTGCCTCGCAGCTTTTGGAAGGCCTGACTTTCATGCACGAGAATGGCTTCGCGCACCGCGATCTTAAGCCCGCCGTAGGTTTATTTCGTTCTAAGTCCTTCGATGTTTTCTTACCTTGACACTTTAGAACGTCCTTGTATCGAAACCTTCGCCCAACTGGTGGGTCAAAATCAGCGACTTCGGTATCAGCAAACGAGCCCAAGAGGCATCAACCGTGTTCCACACAGTCGTGGGTACAAATGGATATCTCGCACCCGAGGTTATGGGTTACTACAGCCCAGACGACGATGAGGATAACGATAGCCCCTACACCGTCGCCGTTGATTTATGGGCACTCGGCGCGCTAACCTTTCGCTTGTTGACAAACCAAAACATCTTTACCGAGCCCAGGATGCTAGGCAGATATGTGGTAGGGAGGGCACCATTCCCAAAGACACTACTCACCTTTCATGCAGTGAGTGAAGCCTGCATCTGCTTATTGGAGAAGATGATGGCACCATCCCCTCTCAAGCGACCGACTGCCGTGGAAGCGCTGGAGGATGCATGGATATGTGACGATAAAGTCGCGTCGACGAGCCAGGCTCCATCCATTGGAAATATTACCAGGTAGGTCCCCATGAAGTCTAGCATAAGCTTTCTCTAACTATTTTAGAATGAACGCGGTCAACTCGTCACAAGCTGAGCACACAATCATCTCCGAAGCAAGCGCTTCCTGGTCTACTGCATTTACAGACAGAACTGAACGCGCTTCATATGACGGAATTAGAAATGTCTCATATGATCATTCTCATGGTTTTATAATGTAAATTTCATTATAAGTACAGATCTATCTATCCGCCATTAGGAGCAGTCGAGCTCATGACGTTGACGCTTTAAACGACATGCTGTTCTTCACGCATACCATGATTCCTTTCTGTGCCACTATCTTGCTCAAGTTCGCCGCTATTTGGACACCGAGAGGCGAAAGCTTATCGAAAACGCTCGGCCTAGGCTTCAAATTCACAGAAGCACATCTCAATCACTCCAGCTCTGCTGATCTGCTGTCAGAGGTGGCCGACCAGCTCAGCGAGAAGCACATCACCCGGCTCGTCGTGATGGGTATCCGTGAGATGCCCCATCGTCTGCCCAGTGCGCCCGGAGCATGCATCGCGGATGAAGAGGCAGGTAGTCAACTAGTCAGAGGCGATACCAAACCAGCTACACGTCCCGATCGAGGAGCGCGGCAGCAGATTTTACGGTGATATAGATGGAAAATGGAACTGAAGGAATGGTTTACAATGTGAATTTTCACAGCATTGCAGATGTTCTCGAGTGTGGTCCTGACCAGTATCTTAGAATTTTCAATGGTAAGGATTTCCTCTCGTGAGATACATCTTCATGAGCGTTTAGACGAGCGCCTGAATAATGAAATGAACCCGTTGAAGCTCAAAAGCATGAAAAAAAAAAATGCAAACGATGTATTAAGGCTTATCAGAAGCCAAAGAACGAGAAACACAAAACCTGAGAGAGAGTATAAGAAAATAAACCCGAGCCATTAAAGACACTTGGTTAATATCATATGACCTCAAGTAACCGTCCACGAACAGAGAAATCTACAATATTACCGCAACCATCTTGTCAAATAGGGCTAATTAATGAACAGAAACATTTCGGCTCCGAACTTTCATAACTTTATGCTCTCTCAACAGCCATTAACCTCTTTCGCAACATCGGGTGGTTTCTGCATCAAACCTTTGCTGATTTCTTCCCACCATTCATTTGGCCAAGAGACGTTCCAAGCTGGGAAAGAACTCGTTTTCTGGTTGACCCAATTTCTTTTTGTTCTCTTTTATGACTATCGACCATTGGGGTCGACCTTCGGGATTGGTCTCGGGCCTAACAATACGGAAATTCGTGTCCCAAGTCATCTCGTCAGGAGACCACAGGATTGCCTTCAAATTCTTGAAACTTCTAGCGCTTGAGGCCGCCAGTATCGATCGGAAAATGTCTTCGGGATCTCCTCTCTCGCCGGTCATATCGATATGAAGTATTTCCAGACTATCAGGGAGTGAGAAAATAAAAGTTTCAATGTCGATCTCAGCCCCGATCTCGTCTTCGAGGTTTTTGGTTGAGCAAATCGCTTCAACATAAATAGACAGCCACTTGAGGTTAGTAAAGTGGTTTAATTCAGATATAGCAAATTCAATTGGCTCATCAAACTGAACGCGATCAAGTGCATTCGGTCGCCAAGCGTCTCTGCCGAATCCAATACTCAATTCTTCGATTGTTGTGCTCGACTCGAGTGTAAACCTAGAGCTTATGGGACAGGAGGACTGGAAGGAAAGTCGGCGTAGGCATTTCAAATTGCCCAAGAAGGCTTGCTCGTTGGGCCAAGAGTGACGAATATCAACTCTCAATGAGTCCAGTTGAGGCATGTCAAGATCCTCTTTCAGCGATCCAGAGGTGCAGATCAGGCTCTTCAGATGAGGTGCAGTGGCTCCGATAAGGAGCCTCTCAGCACGGCGCTCGAACTTGGCGTCATCGATTTCCATATAACGATGGCTGCAATCCATGCATAAGCATCGACGGGGCGCAAGGTCAAGTTTGAGTTTGGAAACCCTGGAAAGTAGATTGGGTAGGGCATTGGTTTCGTTCTTGTCAGCGGCCTAGGATGACAAGAGGCGGAATTTCCAGTCTTTCACCGCAATGAGAGTGAGTTCATTCAAGCGGGGAGCCATCACAAGCATGATTTGAGCAATACTTTGTGCAAAATTTCGCGCCCAAAACTCAGCGCGGGAACATCTGAGGCCGGCAGAGCCTGCAATGCTTTCGAGGGTTGAAATGCCTCTCTCAGTGAGTACCGGTCCGTATTCATACCTAAAATCCTCCTCAAATGAAATTATGCAAGGATCGCGGGAATATTGGTCTCGTGTACAGTCCCTGATATCCAAGGCTCTGACGTATGTCCGGAGCTGGGGGCGGGTATGGAGTCTGGATAGAAAGCGTATCGCGGACAAGGCGAACGTTCTGGCACTTGGCGTCTGGGGTTCAAAGGTACCTTTCCAGTAATGATAGAGTATGGGTTCGGCAATGAATCGTAGTGTTTTAGAGACCTCGCAGAGATTTTTCAGGGTCATTTTGCTTTGACGACAAGCAGCGGCGGGGTGTGTGCCATCTTGTACCTGCTGCGGCTCGCAATGTTTGCAAAGAAACTCGCAAATACGGTGGAGGACAAGGGTAGGAATACACAGCTTTGGCTGTTCGGGCTCCTCTTCGCTGGATGCCATGGTGGTTCGAGGGGGGATGGCGGCCGGATGCAGAGGGGTGATCGATCACTGTCGGAAGTAGCCAACGAAGTGTGATGGATGAAAGAGAAGAAAGGAAATTTGTCAAAGCAACGAGGAGAGGAGAATCAAGAAGGACAATGCGGCAGCCTGAGGCAGAAAGCAAGTCGAAGGGGGGGATGCCTGAGGCGTTCACGCGATGGAGGAAGGTGCGTCCTTCCACTATGAGATGCCAGAGTGACCAGTCAGTAGTGCCATCAGGGTGTTGTCAGATGTCATGCAGTAAGGTAATTAAAATAAATACATGCTCTTATGTAGGTACAGACTACAGTTCCTAGAAAGAAGTTCCCATTTGGCTGAATCTCCCAGCGGTGCATCAACGCAGAAACGAAGAGGGGTTGCCGGCGCAAGCGAGCAAATGACCACCCGGGGCACCGCAACCAAAGACATGTATCGTGGAGGTAAAAACTGGGGGTCAGTTAGCCAGCGGAGACTATCTGTGATGGAGGCTTGTAGGAATTCGTAGCGTTCAAAATTATGTTTTCCAATTTGAGGCAAACATACACGGCTCAAGTGGCAGGTTAATGAACCTCTATCATTCAAGAGAGCGATTGATCTCTCTGCCTAAGTCGACATTAATTGACTTTGGCAAGGCGCAGCGGGGGGGTTGTGATGATATAGAAGGCTATCATTAGGCTTCAAGGGGTGGTATTGGTCCATCATTGTTCGTGAATCAGAGGAGGAAACGAGATGTAAGCGATGATAGCGATGCTTTTAATGAGACTGTTTTTATGAGACGATCCCGATACATATTCCTCAAGCTACTAGTATATCTCGGACTACGGCCGTGCTACGGAAGAGGACATCTATCGTCAGTACGTTGTGTGATTCAGAGCCTGGATTTTGTCCTGCTAGGCACATCCCGGCGTTAACATCAATGGCCACGGCCGTTCGCCAATGCCTCAATGTCTCGGAGGCAAATAAAATCTTGAGAGATGTAACCTCTTTTCAGCCTAAATTGTACTACCTCATCCCTCAAGGCCCGTCTATTCGCCAATAATGAATTTCTTTCTCATGCATAAGCGCATAAAACAGTATCAGACATCCAAAAACATATCAGATATCAGAAAAAGCCAGTTGGCCTCTTCATGGAACCACTCTATCTTAACCAACTAACTACTAACTAAATTTCTCGACATCATAGGTGTCAACAGTTCTTCAGTTCCAAACAATCATCTTAGGTAAATAACATTTGTAAGAGAGCATTCAGCCAACAAACGTGAGACTAAGCAGTCAGTTTTATGATCAGAATCGAGATTTCATCACTCCTCTCTCATCCAATTACCAAACTCGGTACTATATTATTGATTAATTAGATATGCTGTACTATTTATTTCATATTTTTATCCCTAATTACCAATTTCTTTCGATTCATCCAATTATTACTGCTTCCATTCGCAATGCTGCAATTTCGGCTCGGCGTAAGAGACCACAGAGAACTCCCACTATCTCGCCCGATTGACACTTCAGCATTCTTCTCGGCCTTTGCAAACCGACTTGCCACTTTCTCGGCTGTCCGATAAATTGCTTCCATTTTGTGTTGTGCAGATAGAGGGATCTCTCAGATCAACCTCACTAATCGTGTTCAGGTGCGGGACTGGTACGGTGGTCTTGGTACCCCAATACTTCTCCTTAACCAAGCGGAAGAGAGGCTGGAAGGCTGGGAAACAGGCCGTCCAGACGCCGACGTGACCTTGAAGAGCAGACCAGGGACAGACGAAGATGAGCTTGTATGATCTACAAGGAACTCGCCTTATTAGATAATTGACTAAAAAGGAACTGGATCAAAAGCAGAGTATAGTGATCAAGGAAAAGGGTGATTTGGAAGGGAGATACGTACGTGTCCACTGCAAAATCGGTAGTCACAATCAAGATCATGTGAACAATGCCAGCAATAACGGCAAAGATGCCGACAAAGAAAACGAGGATTACCTGAAACCTCTTGCCAGAAAATTTCATCGTGGACCACACCAACCAGATTGGCAGAGCGAGAAGGCCAATGTCGATGGCAACAATAGTGAACACATTTGCGTAGAACATTTTGGCCTCTTCTGATTTAGGGATGCACTGTCGGTTCGGGTTCGTGAGATCCCATTGATCACTAGATAACCACGAGATCGGTTCGGTCAGCCTTGATTGTCTCCGATCAAACGGCAACATTTCATGCGTACGGTATATACTTGCACTCGGTGAGCAAGAAGAAAAAGGCGATCGTGGTGATGGTGAAGGTAAGGAAGGCTAGAAGGTACAACCCGAAGCGGAACCATCCTATTACATCGTTTATCAGTAACAATCCTAGCATGACGATAAAATTTCATTGCTCGAGGAGAGACGAACTCTCTTGGCTAAGTTTCAGGTAGCTAGCGACGATGGAGAATCGGACAAATCCAACGGTTACAAAAAACACCAGTTGAAACGTGAGTAGAGTCTAGCCAGCGGGTCAGCTTCTTCACTTCTACAATGCCGATATTCGGCCGGGTATATGAATGATCACATACCTTATAGAGTGCATCCAGCGCCTCGGGAGGGATTTGGTCGATATGCGTGCCCAAGCCCTGCTGGACAGCTACAAAAATGAAAGATTAGTTGGATAGATTGGGAACACATGCACCTCTTGCGGCGTACCGATGATCCCCTGACTTGAGATCGCAACAACTCCAATCTAAAAGCAATATGAGTTATTATGGTGGGTATCGGGCTTGGTTAGGTCGACATACCCATGCGATGGTTGCCAGCAAGTCATCCCACCCCAGAGATGGAAGCATGAAGATTCGTGTACATAATCGCGTGATGACGAAGACCGAAGTGATCACAATCAGTCCAATATTAAGCTTTGTAAGCAAATGACCCGCGGAATCAGCCGGCGGCTGCCAATCCACCATTGTTTATATCGGTGTCGTATGTTTGAATGATATCGATCGGCTTCGAGGGCGGCTCGAACGTGTGCGAGGCGACGCAGAGCCAAATTTGCTTGAACTACGACATTTCTCAAGAAGTTTGGAAACGGCCAGTGTTTGCGTACCTGGAGAACCGGCGGAAAGGGGGTTATAGGTCATAACCACGGCCAGATGCTTTCGGTATGGGAGTGCATTCCAGTTCACCAAGGTTCGCTTGCATCCATCGCGGGGCTCCAAACTCTGTAACATTGAAATGGCGATGGCACGCACTCTTCTTTTGTCACTCGTCGGCCCATCATATTGTCCGAGGTAAGCAGCAAACCATAATCGGCGAGTGGAATGGCCTTTTGGCCTGGATTCATGGTCGGTTGGAGTGGACATGGCGTAAATATGTGGCGTCCTTCAATTTGCCGAAGCACCGTCCATAGACTCGGCATGCATCCTTTTTCTCACCCATCTGATCCACTAAACGTAAATACAAGATTTGCCCTAGATGAATAAACAAAAATAAAAGGCAGCCCCAGTAGCCTGCTGATCTGGGCTCGTGTCTGTCTGTGTACGTCGTCTGGAATTGCCTCCTGTGGGCGGCGGCTTTATCTCGACCCACGCGCAACAGCCCGAGAGTCCGAGACAACTTTACCTGAAAACGCCCAATCCCATCCGGAAAACATCGTAAAGTTCACAGCTGAACTGCTATTTTAGGCAAGGCTTCTAACCCAGGCACTTGAAACGATCGCTATAACTAAAGCCATGTGACAAATCAAGTCTGTCTTCCTGAATTAGAACAGAAATCGGCGCGCTCCATGTTTAGCACTTGGTCGCCCAGACTAAACCCCTTGTCTGCTGATATTCGATGGAGAGCCCTTTTAAGACACTGGAATATCTCGGGTAAATCGTTTAGATACCTCGAAGCTATCTTCATCGGGAAGAGAAGAGCCATGGGCCCCCTGTGTCCATCTTCGCCCAATAACATAAAGTCAATAACTCGGCAAAGCTCAACAGCGTGTTCTTGTGGCGTTGCATCTCCCAGACGAATCATTGATGGAGACGATATCACTCCTTGGAGTAAATTTTCGGGTGGGTTAGTTAGTCCGTCTAGAGATGCCGATGTACAAACACCATGCAGCAGAAGCCACACGACAAGAAAGTGGATGTATTCAAGGCCGAGACGGAAAGATCTGAACCACAGCACGCGCCCAAATAGTGGTTCATTGCTCTCGGACACCCAAAGCGAATTGGCCTTTTTGGCTGGTATCTCCCAATAGCAGTTTTGGTTTTCTTGCATCCACCGCACTTGGAGGCGGAACAGCTCGCCAAGGGCAAGTGACACTTGATCCTGCAATGCTCTGAGGCGGATCTTGGAAGGGCATCTCAATACTTCATCACTGTCCTCTAATATGCCAGGGACTTGACATAAGAGGTCTTGTAGTCTATCCCCAGTGGTCTTGGTATCCGGGTCGACTTCCCAGGGTATTTTTTTCCACTCTTCCTGGTTAAGAAACGACCTTTTCCTTTTTGCGACAGCCGCAACCACCTATTAAACACATATTAATTTCCACTTATGAGTACGTATTTATCCCTCATTCACTCACAATAAAGCTCCGGAGCACGATCAACAACTCTCGGGCCATCGGCGACTGGAAGGCTGCCGGTCCAGCGCTCTGGGCCTTTTCAATTTTCCCGTCAGCATCAGTACGGCCTAAGGCTCTATGCGGTAGGAGTGAGGCTATTTAGGCTTCAAAATGCATTTTCCAACTTACCAAAGCGGCGATTCCAAGAGAATGATGAATCCAATTGATGGGCCCCATGCCTGACAGGAGCTCATACAATGCCAAGAATAAGCAGCTCCATATTGCAGCATAATGTTGCGCCCAACCTCCGTGGGAGCCAAGCATTTCCAAGTCACGCTGAAATCTGTGCAGGGCCTGGTCATATAAGGTGGACGAATGGCGGACCATACTTCTGTCTCCATGCATATGGCCGAACAGTGCCTCTGCCGAGCTTAGCCCGCATATGAAAGCCGGGGAATCTGTGTTCTTGGATGATAAGATAGTCCAAAATGATGGTGCGTCTTCTTTGACACCAGGAATTTCGTGAACGCTTGGGCCTTGCGGAAATGTACCACTTAATTGTGATATCATATAAGAAAGAACTATGTCTTGTGAAAAAGCTGATAGGTTGAGACTTGCAGGGACTTCAGTAGACAACAATCCAGGATGCTTCTGAATAACCCTGCTGTCCTCGGCCATGCGGGACGCTGCTATACTCCGCCCCGACTGGAATGTTTGGTTAGATGTAACGCGGTTTCCAATGTGTTTATCTTCAAATACGAAAATGGGAATTGTATCATATCCGAGGCATACGTGAAATCCCCGGCTGCAACGGTCACAGACTGGTCGCTTCTCATCTAGAGGCCGTTAAATCAGATTACGAATGCTCACAGTACCCGAGTTCATCAGGATTCCTTGCCTACCACATTTGACTTTTCGTTTCCGGCATGTGGCGCAGCCGGCGCTTCGGCGCCCACGGATCTGTCTCTCCCGGGACATGCTGAGTTATTGGCACATGGCGTAGGAACGCGAGGTGGCCCATTGGTGTACGAAGTGTCGAAAGGCGAGGTGCTTCGTCATCGCAGGGGAAATTCGGATGGTCTTTGCCGTATGGGTCGAATGATTTGATGGTTGCTATCAGGGCCTTTTGCTTATTATTGCAACCTCGCGCCAGCCTTCCAAGAACAGTAACGCGCGTCAAACTACGGCGTAATTCCCAGTCAGCTTCAAGCTAAGATCTTACGCTAAACCAAAAATCGAAGGCCAGTGCGAGGTGAGTTATTGGTTGCTTCAAGCCTGGATGGTCACTCTCACTGGCAAACAGATAATGAACAGAAGATGTCCAAACAATGAAGGAGAGAATTTCTTATAAAACCCATGAACCTTGAATTATTACCAAAATGGCTAACATATCCAACCTAGATCTTCAAGAAATCTGGCTAAAACTCATCCTACGACTACGATGGCATATCTACGTGACCACATAAATGGCGACGAGAAATATGAACCTCTTACTCAATCCTTGGGATCAACTGGCTCTCGCCAAGAATCTAGATTTGCTACATCAGAGCCACTGATCTATGAACACCCAGGCTTTAATGCCATTCCGCCTCCATATCAACGATTTCAACATCCAGACTCATCTTCGCCCATCCCAGGTATGGCCGTGCAATCTATCGCGTCAAGAAACTCCACGCCGCCTTTCCAACAAACCAATGCATCAACTCATCTTCCGGCCTCCATCTCAACGCCGAGAATATCGGTATCTGAATCAGAGCCAAGTAAAATCATTGCTATCCCTGCAACAACACCTAAGTTGGGTTCTCCCTTTCTCAGGGCCTATCCTCCTTCCTTGGGACACCTCCACATTTCCAAAGACCTGTTCCTTGGATTCATCGATCAGCTCAATCGCGCCTCCGTTGCAAGCCCCCCAGTCCAAGCCGTAGGGCTAGTTGGCAATCTCGTGGGCATGGTCCCATTCGCCACCGCGCAGATCGTGGGCACCGCCGTCAACACGGCGGCCACTCTGACGACGGTCGTCGTGTCCAAGGGGAGGACAGAAATGGTTCTTCGTCAGGCCAATCATGAAATATTCAGACCCCGTGGCCTGAAGGCCTACATTGCAAAACTCGATGCTCTTGCCCGGGTAGCCAAGATACCGATATTGGACGTCGGCGGCAATATTGATAGCAAGTCCAGCATACTGCCACCTGTCCAGGGCATGGGAGACTCTATCATCGGGATGCAAGAGCGGCGCATAGCTGCCTTAGGGCCGTGGATTGCACCGCTAGATATTGAGTCTATTCCTCCCGTTGAAAAGCCTACTAACCCTCTTAGCCGAATGCATGCTGTAGTCAGCGAAAGGCAAAGGAGCCGAGAAGAGGAGAAGTTGATGAAAAGTCGAATCAAGGTGACCGAGGATCGGAGCAAAGACACTGCTAAAGCACAAGACAAGTATGACAAGGAGATGCGAAAGTTGCTATCCAAGAGGAAGTCCCATGAGAACTTGTCCAAGCAGACACGGAAACAGGAGAAAATCGAAAGCAAATATCAGAAGAAGATGGGGAAAGTAGATAGACATCGTCAGAAGGATGATGAAGAGGAAAAGATACTACGAAAGCTTCTTTTTCTTGTTATCGATGATGCTGAGTCTTCTCCAGCTCATTATACATTTTGAGAGACCAGTTTTAGTCAAGCTCAAATTACAATTCTCAAACTTAGAAAGTGAATCTCGTATAACCCTTTCAGGACATCGAGTCGACCTGAAAAAGATCGCTGCAATTCTGAGCCGTGTTGGGCAAGGTCAACTTGATAAATGCTGCCTTTTAAAACTATTTGAACCACAATGAAAAGTACAATTGAATATCGCGATGCCTCTTCAGAATTAGGCTAGAAATAATGACGTATTTCTTTTTCTTCAAACAGAGAAGGAATGCTTCAGGATATAAGTTAGTTTGCCTGTAGCATTTCCAGCGTTAGGTACAAAGTTAAATCCGTAACCTCCGCACTAATGATCCGGAGTTCCGGAGTTCAGAATTGATCGGACTTTGGATTTTGATGAAAGTGCGAACATCCTTTGAAGATAGACATAAATATAATAAGGGCTTTTTTAGTTGAATCGATAATTGAGATCAGCTCCCAAGACAAATTCTAAAGCATCAATTTGAAGCATTCTCTTCTACCCTCACCAAGCACTCGGCTTCCAAGACGCAGGAAATCTAGGAATTCAACCATATCTTCCAACAAGCGGCATCTGGTTAAAAAGAGACGTCCAGAAGGAGATTATCCCTCTACTGAAGAAAATGTCATTCCGGTCTCGCCTCGATATCCTCACTGGCGCCATCGGCACCTTACTGATCGGCAGCGGTCTTTACGGCGTTGTAGCCCCCGCAAAGATGGGTCGTGCCTTCGGTGTCATCGACGTAACTCGCGACATGGCCGTCTTTTACCCTGGAATCGGCGGCCGAAACATCTCAGCTGGGCTCGCTGTGTGGGCTATGACTCTGACTGGCCAGCGTAGAGCTCTGGGCACGTTTCTGATCTGCTGGATGTGCACCGGCATTGCTGATACATACTTGCTGCTTATCCACTGGAAACCTGTGGATACCGTCTGGCTACACGTCTTTAACACTTTTCTTCTGGGGTTCGTGGGACCAACCTTGATTAGACACAGCTAGAGGAGGTTCCCGTTGAAAAGGAACAGGAGGAAGAGGAATCACTTGACTGGGCCGAGTAACGAGCTATTTGACGCAGCTTTCAACCTCATTGCTAGGGTTTCAGGTAACTCAGTGGTTGATACCCATTTGAGACTTCGATTTCTATTCGAGTGAACAATAATAAAGATGAACTCAATCAATTCTCAGAAAACTGCGACTCTATTCCAAACAAACTCTAGTCCGTTGTCCTTTATTCTTCGAATCACTAACCTATGGCTTATTTCCAAGAAAATGTCATTGGTCTCTTCAGTGCCAAATGTCATAGAGGCTTTGCTGCTTTCACGACACTGACTTATTCAACGCCCGGCGGTTGATGGGAAGATAAATTGATTTTTAGTTCGTGGGTTAAATTGTCAACTATATTTTAGCTTGTCCCCTGTTTCCCAACAAACAAAACACGGAGTAGAGATTCCTCTGAGGCTGTCATACTAGGTCATTGAATTTCGGACCCTGTAGGATGTAATACCCAATATGCTCTTAACTCTGGAGCGACTTTATTTTCAAAGCCAGCAGCGATGCCTCCCCTTCTATTATGCGCTAGAACATGAAAGAAATTCAAGATAGCCAGGGTTTGAAATACCTAATTACTCATCAATCTAGTAAGTGGTAGGCTTTGGAATCAGGTTTAAACTATTACTACACTAATTAGTTGTTTCCTATCAATTGAGACGGCCAAGGATGTGGCAATTCACCAATAGAGAACTACTACAGCTCAATAGGTGGAGGAGAGAACCAACCTTTAGGTGACAAAGCGCGTCAACTCGAAAACGATATGGGTGGCTCGACAGCTTACTTAAGTAATGACTCGTCCCTTCTTGCGTCGAGAGCATATCATAGGCTCTGAGTGCTTCATCATGGAAGTGCCCATCCTTGGTGAAAAGAAAAGAAGGGGGTCCAAGGGCCGCTTCCATTGCGGATTGCAAAAGCTATTGCAGTTATGTTGGTAGAAAAAAGAGCTGATACCCTCCGGTCCAAGATCGGTCACCCCATACTCGCGTTTCCGTGACAAGATAACGGGGTCGGATAGAACTATTTCGCGTCTGTAAACGCCACCCTGCAGATCACAGAGAACAAAGCAGCCATCAGAGACATGGTAGCTGAAGTGGCTCAGAGCCTGCATCACCTCCCCCCAGGTCTCCGATACGTCATACCACCCAGAGTTGCTATTGAACTTTTCGTAATTATCGATAAAGGGCTCGCACAACATTCTTGCGCCCTTCCAGCCTGATAGGCGGGGGTGGTTCGAGGGTTCGACAAACCACACCTCTGGCACATTGATCCTGATAATCTTATGGGTCACATTCAGGTTGTTGAACTGGTCCACAATCTCCAAAGCCTTATCCACGGCCCTGATGTCGAGGGTGAAATAATCAGGCTCGAAGACCACTCCCGTCTTGAACCACTTTAATACGCATGGTTCGCCCTTGCGTGGGCCTGAGGTGTATGTACCTGGAGCGACGTACCGAAAGGATCCTTCGGCGTATGGTTCGATTATATCAGCGGCATTTATCTCAGCATTAGCGGATGTGTTGCATTGTCCGCTGTCTGAATGAGTATCAGATGGGATATCGGATTGGTGTCCATTGTCACATGTCACGCATCTCGATAGGCCATCACCCTTCTTATGCTTGTTGGGGGCGGAGGATCGAGGTAATTTAAGGTTGTTGTCAGCATATTGGCGCATTTCTAGCCGCTTTTCATTCCTTGAGCGATTATTGACTTTAGGGAAGCAAGTAGGTGTCATCTTCGTTTGAAATTTAGCCTGAGGTGGTGTTAAGGGGTAAATAATTTACACGAGATTACATGCACGTGACTCTCCCCGGGGAATGTAACCATCACCTGAGGATTTCAAAGATAGAATTCTTTCTTTTTCTAGGCTGGGCCTCCTATTATAGAAAATACGTTCTAAAAGCATTATAAATGTTTATCGGTAGCGAAAGTTGTAGAGATGGCCGTAAGAGTTCCGTGCACTGTGTCCCAGTCAATAGTTGAACAGTGACCAAAACTAGGCCTTAGCAAGAATTACATCAGACAACTATGAAGACTTTCCCTCCTATGTAGCTACTTAATTACTTCGCATCGACTAAAGCTATAGTGGCAAATCCGGATGTGCCAAGGTCTGGTAAACAGTTCCACCAGCCCCGGCTAGGACTTTACAAGGTTGTGATGCGATGCTAGAAGACTCTCAGAGCTTGATGACCAGACGAAAAGCCCTCAGGCCAAAGGCAGAATAGAACGAAGACTGGGGCATATGAGTCTTAGAACCCTAATTGGTATTATGTG